GAAGGCGATGAAGGTGCACCCGAAGAAGACGGCGAGCGTCATGGCGGCGGGACCCGGGGCCGGGATCGGGACCCGGAGCCTCGGACCGGACCGGCCCCCGCCGCCCCTCCCCCCCCCCTCCGCGCCCTTCCGGGGCCGCCTGACGTCACGCGCCGCCTGCGCGCGCCGCCGCCGCCGGAAGCGGCGCGCGGGGGGCGGGGCGGGGGGGTGTCACCGCGGGGGGCGTGACCGAAACACGCAGGGCGGGGCGGGGGTGGGACGCGACAGCGGTGGTGTGGGGCGGGGTACAGCCGGCACTGGGCGGGTCACGGCTGCCCCGGGGGGGGGGGGCACAGCCTGTCCTCAGGGTCCTGTCACGAGTGGGCGCAGCCTGCGCCGAGGGGGCAGAGCCCGCTGCTGCCGCGGAAGCCTGTAGCGTGGGGGGACACGGGGTGCGATATGGATTCCGGAGGCCGCGGGCTGTGTGGGTGAGGGCAAGGCTGAGCTGTTCTGAAATCACCCAGAGCCACGCAGAACCCACGCGGCGCGGCGGCAGGGCTCTCCGCGCCCTCACCCGTGTGCCCCGGTCTGTAAATGCGGGGAGGGACTGGGGGCCCGTGGTCCGCGTCCGGCTCCGCGTGTCTCATCAAAACGTCCCTGCGATGGGCTTTGCGTGATCCTTCCCCTCCAGCGTGGGGCTCAGGGGGGTCGGTCAGGAAGGGTGCGGGGGTGAGATGAGGCACCAGGGCGATGAGAAAATTTGGGGAGAGCGTGGAGGTGAGAGGCTGCCGGAGGTTAATGTGGTGGCTTATCGATGGGGTGGCAGCCCGCACCAGGACTGAAAGCACTTTGGGGAGATCTTCAGCCTGTCAGGCCAAGATAGACAAATCCGAAGGTTGAAATTCAATGGGAGACGTGCAGGGGGAGGGAGAGAGGAGGAGGGGATGGGCACTGCGGTCCTCAGCGTGGACACGAGTGGGGGGACGTGCCTGCAAGCACTCCTACCAGCAGCTCCACAGTGCCCCAGCCTCCCAGAGCTTCCCCCTGGGCTGTGTCCTTCTGCAGGGACGTGGGAGGAAGGAGGCGGGTGGGAGAATGGAGAAAATATTAAAAAATACCAAGCTTTGCTGAACCGTGATGATAGGCTCATGTGTTTGGGGCAGAGCATCACCCAGGAACAGCAGGCAGGATCTCACTGCCAAAACACAGTTCAGATTAAAATTAATAATAATAATAATAATAAAGGCCCTTGCTGTGGGGTGTAAACAGTTAAGTTAAATGGACTGGTCCAAGCCAGGAGGCAGCAGCAGCTAGTGGAGAAAAACACTGGATGTGAAAGGGCTCTTTGTCCCAGCAGGCAGGAGAAGGGTGCCCAGAGGTTGGGCGCTGGGGACGCACCCTGATAGGAGCGGAGGGCAGCCTTGTTTGCAGTGCAGGGCGCAGGCTCCCTCGGAAGAAGTGGTTTTACACTCTTGTTCCTCCTGCAGCCAGACAAGACCCTGCCTGGAAGGTGCTTTGACCAAACAGCGGAATGGCTCAGCTGTTGGGCTGCAGACAAGCAAGACGGACCCAAGGAGGAGCTCCAACCCTTGCACAGGGCCAGCTCCGCGGGACAGCCGAGCCCATCCTTCCCTCCAGCTCGTCCAGGGAGGGAGGCTGTGCCTCACGGTGGGTCTCACACCCTGGGAGAACAACCAGAAAATGAGCACCCCATGCGAGGGGGATCCCTTTTCCCTGTAGGAGGAGGTCTCAGAACGACAAACCAAAAGTGCCGGGCCAAGGGGAGGGCAGGAGGCCGGCAGCACCTGGGCAGGAAAGAGATGCAATCTCACCACACTCCTTTCCTGAGCTGAGAGGTGCGGCAAATAAAGGAAAGCAGATAACGAAAGCTATCCCTGCTGGCCGCTCGCTGGGGCGATGGCCCGTCTCGGCAAGGGGTCAGCATGAATTATGTTTCCTGGCAGCATGAGGCTGTGCTTTTAAAGGGATATCCGCCGGGTAGTGTGGAACAACAGGGCTCAGCCACGCATCACGGGGGGGCCCAGAGTGGAGGGCAGGACTAGATCATGACTTTGGGCATCCCCAGGAAATGCAGCCCATTTTGGTGACAGCGATGAGACACATCCTGCTGCTCTTCTCTTTGTGCTGGAGAAAACACGGCAAGCCAGGAGGAAACTTCCTGAACACTTTGGGAAGTGGTCACCTTCTACATTAATACTTGCTAGTTTATACAGCTGTTCCTCAGGCAGGCGTTCAGTGACTGATAATAGAAAAAGCAACTAGTACACAGGGTAAGCAGCTAACCCCAGGCCTGGAGAAGACCCTGATGATAATGTGTGCATGCGTGGTCACATGCTTGTATGCATCCTCAGATGGTGTCATGAACATGAGACATGAAGCGGACTCCACGGAGAGGTCAAAGACCTTGTGGCTTCCCCAGGTACCAGCAGGTAACGTGCTGGCTGTGGAAGGGGACACGCCAGTGGCATATGTCTGTCACTGTGCGCTTGAAGAGGATGGTGGGTTTGGACTGAGCTTGAGCCATGGTTTCCTGTGCATCCCAAGGAAGCGATGGAGACAAGGGAATGCAGCCCAAAACATGTACATTATTGCTCCCAGCCCCCCACAGCCACAGAGGACATCCTTACACCGGCCATACCCACCCTGGACACAAGCCCCCGCAGAGCCTCCTTGCACAAACTGGGCAGGGAAACCCCCACCACGTCTCCCAGTGCCTGTGCTCGCCCGCAAGGACTACACACACCCGTCCATTTTGTCAAACTGCTTTAATATTTGGACATGAAGACGGGACAGAGCCAGTCAGGCTGTGCACAGACAAGTTGCCCCCAAGCCACGGTGTAAGGCTGCAGGGCTTCCCTTCTGAATGGATGTGTGGATTTGGCCAAGACGCAGTTCAGCTGATGACGTCCTGAGCGTGCCAGTGGGGTGCACGTGTGGGGTAGGGAAGAGGGACGGGGGCTCCCCAGTGCAGCTCAGAGGTTGTTCAGCTCCAACAAGGTCTGGTCCAGGACCTGATGGATGCCCACGTTCTCCTCTTTGGCACTGGCCAGACTCTCTGTGAATACAAGGAACGCCCAGACACGCACACAGACACAGACCAAGTGTACCCAGGTGCAGCCGGACCCACGTACACCACACCAAGCACAGACAGACAGACAGACAGACACACACACACACACACACACAGATGGACATTTCAGTATGGCAACAGCCTCCAGCCGAGCAGGGTGACCCTGTGGAGCAGAGCCCACGCAAGCGTCCCCGTCACCGGCAGCAATGGGCCCAGCCGCTCCGGGATCTGCCGGGGTGGCCAGGCCAGCCAGGCTGGTCACCGGGGGCAAGCGGTCCCCACGCTTCACCATTTCCATCCTCCTCTGGTGCCCCGCTGCCCATGGCTGAGCCTTCTGCAGCGCAGGTACCGCTGACAGGTACCATTCCTTAGCCAGCCACCAGCACGTCCTGCCCCAGGGCATCACCACCAGCCGTATGTGCACAAACCCTTGGCCAGCAAAAGAGGAGAGCCGGGGGCTGCTGCGTGACCCAGCGGTGCTCCGTGAAGAAGAGGAGTGAGACAGCAGCCCAGGAGGGCAGGCAGGGAGGACAGCAGAGAGAGAAGGAGCAGAGCTAACAAGGCTGCATGGACAAGCTCTGCCGAGGCAGTCTCCTCTGGTGTTCGCTTCCAAATGGCATCCTCCTTCCCTCTAGAAACAAGGATGGGACGAGAGCTCTTCCCTCCCCAAACCCTTCCCCCAGTGCTCCCTGCTGGGCCCTTCCCTGTCCCCTGCCCCAGGTTCAGGGCATCGGGTGCTGCTGGGTCCCCAGCTCCTATCCCAGCCCTCCCAGCACCCTGCAGGGACACTGCTCTGAGAGGATCCTCCCTGCACAGTTTGGGGTGACCAGAGCGAGGAGGAAGAGGCTGGCTGCTGGCTCCTGGGACAAAGGGAGGAAGGCAGCAATACAGACCACTGCATCCCTCCCTGGCAGGGCCAGGCTGATGCCAGGGGACAGCTGTCACTGCGTGGGCATCCCAGGACATCACAAACCCCCTCATTCCTCTCCCAAGAAAAACCGATCAGCTCCAATGGGGGTCCCTGTCCCCCCCCAAGCAGGGCAGTTACCCCCAGGGGGATAAGCCAAGGCTCCACACCCCGCCTAGCCCCGGCGGGGAGTGGGTAGGGGCTTCCAGCCCCGAGCCAGCCTGGCCAAAACGGGGCAGAGAGGCTGGGCTGGGGCCGGGAGCTCTGGGCAGCTCAGTTGTTAAGTTCAGTAAGGATGACCCGCAGCTCGTTAGTGAGAACGCGGTTTTTCTCGGCCTCCTGCCGGGAGCGCTCTAGAGAAAACAGAGACATCAGCGCAGCAGAGGGAAGAGAGAGAGAAAGGCAGGTTAGTGAAAAGAGACAGCATTCCCCAAAGCCCTCACTGGAAATCCCACAGCCACCCAGCCAGCAGTGGGGACAAGTTGGACTGGTAAGAAGAGGCAGCTGGTCCCAGGGCAGGGATGGGGCTGTGGGTCTATCAGTTTGGGAACTGTGTTCTGGAGCAGGGTAGGATGCTGAGGAAGGAGGAGGAGGAGTATCAGGGACCCATTTAGGGATTGCTGCTGAAAGGTAGGGTCAGCCCCTTTATCGAGGGAGGGTGATGCAGGAGAGATGCCAGGGCTGAGGTCACTGCTTGCAGGCAGTGTTAGAGTGGGGATGGGGGATGGATGGGACCAGGTCTATTTCAGGCCAAAGGAGTCATGGAGGTGATGGTATGAGATGAGGAAAGCTGCGTATGAGAGGCAGGGGGTGGTGGGGGTCGTCCCCCCGGCCGAGGCACAAAGGGCCCCGTCCCGCTCAGCCTGGCAGCGTGGGAGCCACTCGGGGCTGAGGCACGGCCGTCCCGGGGGTCCCACGACTGCGAGCTGCCTGCAGCCACCTCCTGCCACCCCGCTGCCAGCACCCGTGTGAGACAGGCAGGAGATGAGGGACAGAGCGGCATGAAGAAAACGAAAGAGAAACCAAGGAAAGAAAATGCTTTATTGAGACCAACTCGGTAACCCAGAGGGACAGGACATAAAAGAAAAGTCATGAAATGCAAACTGAAGAGCAATGTGCAGAGGACAGAAAGGAGGCAGGGGCGAGGGAGGAGCGGGGGGGTGTCGGGGCTGCCTGCTTGCCTGCCTGGGATAGGGCTGCCTGCACAGCCAGACACAACCCTCCATCCCCGGAGCCTGAGCTTTGGCAGTGGAGGTGCCACGTCCCCTCTGTGGGGGTCCTCCCCACCCTGGGCCCCACAAGCAGCACTGGGGGGGCTTTGCCAGGGGGATGCAGGCAGGCCCCCAAACCTGGAGCTGCAGGATCCCCGGTGCTTCTGCTGATGGGGAGCTGAGGAGGGAGCTCCTGGGAACAGCCCTGTTCCCCACTGGGCAGTGCTGGGGCACGGACCTGCAACCGCACGGGCACTGTTGGCCCGGCACGGGGGGGTTTGTCCTGCCCTGCTATACACATCGTCACCCCACAAAGAGGGGTATTTTGGGAACACCCTGGGCCAGCTCCCGTCCCAAAGGAGCCGATGGAGAGGCAAGGGCTAGGAAGGACAGAGGAGGACAGAGTGGGCAGGGAGAGTGGTGGGACGGGCGGGCAGGCAAGTGGGCGAGCTGGGGAAGGGAGAGGCAGGCGAGGGTGGGGGGGGGGGTCGGTAAGGGGTGCAGTGCTGGTGCCCGGCGGGGGGGCTCAGAGGGAGGTGATGTCGTTAAGTGCATTGTCCAGCTCTTCGCTGATGGCTTTGTACTTCATCTTCTGCGCATACACTTCGTCTGCAGGTGAGGGGGGGGGGGGGGGCAGATGGTGGAGCAGGGTGGGGGGGTGGGCAGCGGAGAGAGAGAGAGTGGCTGTGAGCTGGGGGGGCCGAGGGTGGTGGGAGCGTGCGGGCACAGGCAGCGTGGATGCGGCCCTATTCCCCACCCCAGGGCAGAGCCCAGACCCCAGCAGCTCTGCACTCCCATACCAGACACCACAGTGTCCAGTCTCCCACCTCCCAGGACCCCTGCCCACCCCCCTGCCCCAGCCAAGCCCCGTCCAGACACCACCAGGAGCACGCTGTGGTCAGCACTCCCTGGCAAAGATGGATACGGGACCAGTGGGGACATTTTACCTTCTAGATCATCGATGGTTTTCTCCAGCTTAGCCACAGACCTCTCTGCAAACTCCGCCCGGGTCTCAGCCTGCAGGAGCACAGTGGGATGAGGGTGAGCTGCAGGGCACAACGGGGATGGTGCAGGCTGCACCACACCCCAAATCTGCCCTGTCTGCACCTCTGGAACCCTTCATAAGCCCCACCCTGGGAAAGGCAAGCAACAAGCGCCCTATGGACCCCCACACCCTAAACCAGATCAGGCTGATGCGTGAGCAATTGCATTGTGCATCACTTGTTTTTTTTCTCCAGTTTTATTTCTCTCCCTTTTTGTCATATCCCTTTTCATTACTATTATCATTATTATCATCATTATCATTATTATCACTATTGTTGTTGTTGTATTTTATTTTAGTTCTTGAACTGCCCTTATCTCAGCCCACAAGTTTTACTTTTTTTCCCCTATTCCCCTCCCCATCCCACTGGGTGGGGACGAGACTGAGCAGGTGCATGGTGCTTAGTTGCGGTCTGGTGTTAAACCATGATAGGAGTTCAAAACCCGCACAGGATGGCAAACCTGTGCTTGCAGCAATGCAGTGCCAGCCCCGCACCCCTTACCTCCTTCAGTTTTTCCCCTAGAAGCTTGATTTCTTCCTCATATTTGTCCTCCTTGGTGGAATACTGCAGAGACAGAGACAGGCACCTGTGAGACCTATGGGATGCCTCCATCCATCCTACACCCCATCAGGAGACCCCCGGCACCCCCAGTCCCCACGCACTCTGCCCAGCCCCAGCAGACCCACTGGGTCCTACCTTGTCAGCCTGGGCCTCCAGGGACTTCAAGTTGTTGGTGACAATTTTCAGCTCCTCCTCTAGGTCACCACATTTACTACATCCCAAGCAGGGGCCGCCAGGAGGGGGAGCGGGGCCGGGGGGCAGGAGAGAGGGGGTGCAGAAAGAGCGGGTGCAGGGAAGGAGGAAAGAAAGAGAGAAAACAAGTTGAGAGAGGAGAAAACAGCGCAGGTGGAGAAGGAGCAGAGCTGCTGCGAGCAGGAGCTGCCGGGATGCATCCGTTCATCCATTCCTCGTGCTTCCTTGCACGGACACCCTCTGCATCACCGCTGGCCGGGCTCCCGCCGGCCCCACCGACAGGGAGAGCAGGCATGGAGGGATGGAGGAGCGTGCCCAGCCTGCACCCACCGGAGGGGGAGGCGAGGGGAGGTCGGTGGTGGAGGCAGCGGTGCAGAGGAGAGAGGTGGCTCGCACGGTTCGAGAGACAGCGACAGAGAGAGGGGGGCTGCTGCGCATCGCCCCATGCCCCTGCCCCAGTACCTCTTCCTCTGAGGCAATGAGGGATTTGAGAGTCTGGTCCATGGTCCGCAGCTCTTCTTCCAACTGTCTCACTCGGCTGGGGTGGAAGAGGGGCACCCCGGGGCGGGGGGTGGGGGGGGACAGCAGAGAACAGGGTCAAGGATGTGCTGCTGGAGGGCTGGCATCCCCCTGCCCCCAGCCTGCAAGCCCAGGGATCACCCCAATGGCAGTCCCTGATGCTCCCAGGGAGGGACATCGCCGTCCCCATGCAGACATCCCCATGGCTGCCAGGGTTTTGGGGGAAGGGCTGCATGGGACCCCCATGCGCCGCCCACCGGGAGCCCCCCTCACCTCTCCGCCACCTCTGCCCTCTCCTCCGAGCGCTCCAGCTCTCCCTCAAGGACCACCAGCTTGCGGGCGACCTGTTGATGACAGCAAGGGTCATGAGCTGGCCCCATGCTTGCCCCAGCTGGGGGCACAGGGCTGCAAGGAAGAGGCCCCAGGTGCTGCCAGGGGTTCAGGACTGGGGGAGGGGGGCACGCACCTCCTCGTATTTGCGGTCAGCCTCCTCTGCTATGTGCTTTGCCTCTTTCAGCTGCATTTCCTGGAGCTCCATCTTCTCCTCATCTTTCATGGCCCTGTTTTCGATGACCTTCATGCCTCTGAGGAAAGCCCAAGCCAGAAGATGTTACTGCCGTGGGTTGAGGTGGCATGTGCACCTCCTGCCTGCCCACTGTACCCTAACCCCACCATCCTCCAGCTCCACAGACATGGGACATCTCTTGAGGATTCTGGCACTCGCTGTCCACCCCACACAGTAGGGTCACACCGGTGGTACCCCAAGGACGGTCCTGCACACAATTACAGCAGTGGAGCTGGCCCCATGGCCATGTTCCAGAGCTAGGAGATGTGCCTGTGGTGCCCCTCAACCAGGAAGGTCCTGAACCCATCATCTGGGGGTGAAAATGTGTGCAGCCCAGGATGAGCTATCCGCAACCTCCACAAGAGCAGCCTGACAGGCCAGCAACCTTTAGGAAATGCTAGAAAAAAAACCATGGCAAAGTCTTTTCTCATCCAGGGGTGATTCGTACAAGCAGGAGGTCACCAAACCCCTGTGAACCCGCAGAGCAGGGACACCTGCAGACTCTTATCCTCTCACTTGGATGCTGTTGCTCAGACTGGTCTTTGCCAATGGAGGGAAGAGCTCACGTAACTGAGGAACACTGTGACATGTCTGGGCACTTCCATACAACCCGAGTGACCTTGCCTGCATAGCTCCTGCCTGGGAAACCTGCTTGCCAGGAAGATGTGGCAACACAATTTGCAGGACTATTTTTTCGAATGAGGCTGGTTTGTTCTCAAAAGCTGATCTTTGTTCCCAGGCACAGATGTCCCCTCCTGGACTGTTGTTCAGTCCTTAAGCATAAGAGGTTGTTTTGAGGCAGAAAACAGGCTCCAAGTACCCTCTGGCTTCAGTTACAGCCTGATATTTATAAACACCAGATCAAATTTTTCAGGATTTTATGGATGCCCTGGAATTTCAAAGCCTTTTTAAGAATGCCTGTATCTGGGGGACTTCTCTGCGTTGTTCTTTGTTGTCTCCCTTTGGGGTCTGCAGGAGGACAGCGAGGAGGGTGCACAGCAAGCTCACTAATCTGGACTTTAGGAGAGCAGACTTTGGCCTCTTCAGGGATCTGCTTGGCAGAGTAGCACGGGATAAAGTCCTGGAGGGAACAGGGGCCCAAGAAAGCTGGTTCCTATTCAAGGATCACCTCCTCCAATCTCAGGAGTGATGCATCCCAACAAAGAGGAAGTCAGGTAAGAATTCCAGGAGGCTGCATGGATGAGCAAGAAGCTCCTGGACAAGCTCAAACACAAAAAGGAAGCCCACAGAGGGTGGAAGCAAGGACAGGTAACCTGGGAGGAATACAGAGAAACTGTCCGAGCAGCCAGGGATCAGGCCAAAGCCCTGACAGAATTAAATCTGGCCAGGGATGTCAAGGGCAACAAGAAAAGCTTCTATAGGTACATTGGTGATAAAACGAAATTTAGGGGAAATGTGGGCCCTCTCTGGAAGGAAACAGGAAGACCTGGGACATGGAGAAGGCTGAGGTACTCAGTGACCTTTTTTGCCTCAGTCTTCACTGGCAAGGGCTCCAGCCACATTGCCCAAGTCACAGAAGGCAAAAGCAGGGACTGGGAGAAAAATGAACTGCCCACTGTAGACGATCAAGTTTGAGAACATATAAGGAACATAAAGGTGCACAAGTCCACGGGACCTGATGAGATGCATACGCAGGTCCTGAGGAATCTGGTGGATGAAGTGGCTAAGCCATCATATCCATCATATTTGAGAAGTCATGGCAGTCTGGTGAAGTTCCTGCTGACTGGAAGAGGGGAAACGTAGCCCCCACTTTTAAAAAGGGAAAAAAGGAAGACCCAGGGAACTACAGGCCAGTCAGTCTCACCGCTGTGCCTGCCAAGACCATGGCGTGGATCCTCCTGGAAGCTATGCTAGGGCACATGGAAAATAAGGAGGTGAGTGGTGACAGCCAACACGGCTTCACTAAGGGCAAATCGTGCCTAACAACGTTGGAGGCCTTCTACAACGGGATTACAGTGCTGGTGGACAAGGGAAGAGCAACTGACATCATCTACCTGGACTTATGCAAAGCATTTGACACTGTCCCGCATCACATTCTTGTCCCTAAATTGGAGACGTGGATTTGACTGATGGACCACTTGGTGGATAAGGAATTGGCTGGATGGTCACATCAAAGAGTTGCAGCCAACGGCTCGATGTCCAAGTGGGGACCAGTGACAAGTGGCGTTCCTCAGGGGTCGGTGTTGGGACCAGTGCTGTTTAACATCTTTGCTGGTGATGTGGACAGTGGGATTGAGAGCACCCTCAGCAAGTTCACTAATGACACCGAGCTGTGTGGTGGGTGACACGCTGGAGGGCAGGGATGCCATCCAGGGGGACCTGGGCAGGCTGGAGAGGTGGGGCTGTGTGAACATCACGGAGTTCAACAAGGCCAAGTGCAAGGTCCTGCACATGGGTCAGGGCAATCCCACGCACAAACACAGGCTGGGAGATGAGTGGATGGAGAGCAGCCCTGCGGAGAAGGACTTGGGGGTGTTGGTGGATGGAAAACTGACTGTGAGCCAGCAATGTGCGCTCACAGCCCAGAAAGCCAACTGGTTCCTGGGCTGCATCAAGAGCAGAGTGGCCAGCAGGTCGAGGGAGGGGATTCTGCCCCTCTGCTCCGCTCTGGTGAGACCCCCCTGCAGTGCTGTGTCCAGCTGTGGGGCCCCCAACACAACAAAGACATGGAGCTGATGGAGTGTGTCCAGAGGAGGCCACAAAGATGATCAGGGACTGGAGCACCTCCCTTGTGAGGACAGTCTGAGAAAGCTGGGGTTGTTCAGCCTGGAGAAGAGAAGGCTCCGGGGAGACGTGCCAGTGCTTAAAGGGGGCTACAGGAAAGGTGGGGAGGGGCTCCTTATCAGCAACCATGGTGATAGGATGAGGGGTAATGTTTTTAAACTGAAAGAGGATAGAGTCAGATTAGATATAAGGAGGAAATTCTTCCATGTGAGGGCGGTGAGACACTGGCACAGGTTCCCCATAGAAGCTGTGGCTGCCCCCTCCCTGGAAGGGTTCCAGGCCAGGCTGGACGGGGCTTTGAGCAACCTGGGCTGGTGGAAGGTGTCCCTGCCCGTGGCAGGGGGGTTGGGACTAGGTGGTCTTTAAGGTCCCTTCCAACCCAAACCATTCTGTGATTCTATGAAAACCAACACAAACCCCATGCAGTTACTTCAGAGGGACCCCATGGTGTTACCAAGGGGGCTGCCTGTAATCAAGTGCACCGATACCACCCCCGCTGTCCCTTCCCTTCCCACCTCTCGCTCTCATCAGCCGCCTTCTCAGCCTCCTCCAGCTTCTGCAGGGCGGTGGCCAGGCGCTCCTGGGCTCGGTCCAGCTCCTCCTCCACCAGCTGGATACGGCGGTTCAGAGAAGCCACTTCAGCCTCAGCCTGCAGGAGCAGAAACCCCTCAATCATCCTATGTCTCATATATATATATAATTCACTATCCAGAACACCCCTTGGCTCTGTGCAACAAGCCAGTGCTCACTAGAATGGGATGCCCAATCATCCATCCCCTTGCCTTTCTATAGGGACAACAGGGTTTTTTTCCATTCCCAGCACCCTGTTTGATGCTGGCTCCTCCCAGCCCCTCCACGTGCAGCCCCTCCACCGCGTCCTCGCACCTCTGGCTCCCTCCCCACCGAGGGACGAGGCACGTTCACCGGGGGTAGGGTGGCTGTAGCAGCCGTGCCGTCACAGGGACGGCATTTGGGGTTTGCAGGGCAGTGAGTAAAGGGGAAGGAATGCCCCGTGCGGCTTCGCTCCTGAAAAGGAGATCGGAGCCGCTTGTGGATTTCCTGTTTACGGAGGCAGTGGAGCGAGCCGGCAGCCTCTCCTGCGGGAACCCCCCCCCCCCCCCCCCCAGCCCTGCCCAACAGGGACGCCTGACGCCAAGCACAGCACACCCCCCCCCCAGCCCCCCTCTAAGCTGATGTACAGCACAGCGCCGGGGGCAATGGGGCGAGCTGCCCTTGTTGAGCAGGCGCCTGGCCAAGCTGCGGCTGCCGGGGCCCACCAGACAGGGCCCCCCCCCACTTTCCCAGGCTCCCCACACGCTGGGCCAGGAGCTGGAGCCGTCCAGGAGCGGTGACCCTGGCCCCCCGCCAGCCCCTCGACGCCTGGCCTCGCACTCTTTCCATCCTCCTGCTCCATCGCCCCCGCCGGGAAACGCTGCCTCAGCAGCTCCCAGCCCAGCTCCCTGCTGGGGGCGAGGGCTCCGGGAAAGACAAGCCCGGGGTGCAAAGGGATGAATGGTGCTGAGACCCCAGCGTGGGGAGCAGCCCTGTGCACCAACCCTTGGGATAATGTCTCCTGCTTATTCACAGGCGTGAGCAGGCCCGGCTGGCTGCAGCGCCTGGCCCCATCCGGGCTCATGCTCCAGCGCCAGGAATGCCCTGGGGGACATCGGGCAGGCAGGAGGGCCGTGGGAGCAGCGAGGGGGCTGTCACCCTGCGTGGCCCCACTGAGAACCCACCGTCCCCTCACGGCAAGACGGCAGGGTGAGGATGGGTGCAGCCGGCACATCTCTGAGCAGGGCAGCCTGGCAGCACGTCGGGAGGGCGACCAGCCCCACGGCTGGCACAACAGACGCCTCCGTCCCACAGACACCCTTTTTCCAGGCTCACCGAGAGCTTTTCCCTAGCCAGGCCACCCAACGGGGAGCTGGGGCTGGCCCCCACAGGGCGATGCTCTGCCTGTGGCATCTGCCTCACCTCCTCGGAAGCTTTTTTCCCAGGGAATCACCCCCAAAAGTGGGTCAGAGCTGCCCGGATGGACACTTGGGAACATGAGCTCTCCAGCAGCTCCCAGTGACTGGGGAACCTGATCTGCAGCTGCAGGAAGGGGCCATTTCCTCCGCATACAGCCCAAGTGACAACAACCCGGGTACCGCACCCAGCTCTGCTGCTCCTGATATGGTGAGGATGTTAAAGGAGTGGGCATAGGAAAAAAAGAAAGAAAGAAAAAATCCCAGCCCCAACAACAACAAAAAAGCTAAACCATGAACAAGCTGCAGCTTGGAAATACCGTCCCTCTGCCAGAGTGGAAATTTCGGCCTGTGGCAGCGTGAAGGGGTGGCTTATCCCCATGAAGGGACATACTGGAGAGCCAGAGGCTCTGTGACTGCTGTGGCCTGGACCGCGGAGCCCACTGGAAGCCAGACGAGAGCCCGGGCGTGGGATTTTCAGCTGTGCTCACCGCCGGCTTCCAAGGGAGGAGATCCCTTCCCGGGATCTGCCCGACCCCAAGCAGAGCCAAGGCAGAGCCCAACGCTGACCAGTGCCCCGACAGCCGGGGAAGCCCTGGGGGAGCCCCGCCGCACAGAGCATCCCTCGCAAGACCCACGGAGGAAGCCACTGGAGGAGGCAGCGCGGGGGCCGGGGCGCTGCCTGAAGCCAGCACCTCCGGCACCAGCCCCCCCCCCGGCACCTCCCGGGGGGCAGCCAGCCCGGCTACCGGGGAGGGACGGGGATTTGGGGCCGGAGGCGGGGCGGGGGGGGGGGGTGGCCGCGGCCATCCCACGGGGGAAGGATGCCGGCGGCGGGGCCGGAGCCGGTGGGACATCCCGGGGAGCTGCCGGGGCTCCCCCTCGCCTCACCGCGCCGACACCCCCCCCCGACCCCCCACCCCCACCCCGCCCTCCCCAACACCCCGGCCGGCCCTTACCCGCTCCCGGGCCTGCCGCTCGGCATCGGCCTCCCGCTGCAGGTGCTCGGCGCGCTCCTCCGCCTCGTCGGCCACTTGCTGCAGGCTCTGGATCTTCTTCTTGACGGCGTCGATGGAGCTGATGCCGGCCATGGCGGGGGGGGCTGGCGGCGGGGAGGCCGCACCGCCGAGCCCTTTGTGGGATCCGCCCGGCTCGGGCAGGAAGCGCTCAGGCAGCGGCCGCTCCCGCCGCCCGCCCTGCCTCCATCCCTTCCTGCTCCTCCTCCTCCTCCTCCTCCTGCTGCCACCGGCCGACCTGCGCCGCCGATCCCCCCCCACGCCCCCTCGGGGGCAAAGCACGCAGACCCCCGGGAAGGACGGTCCTCGCAGCAGGAGGGGTGCGCGGTGTCCCCGTCCCCCCCCCCCCGCACCCCACATAAGAGTGCCTGCCTGGGTAGGGCGCATGGTCACTGCCCCTACCCCCCGCAGGCAAAGACGCATAGTGGCTTCAGGGCACTGTCCCCGAGCAGGGGGGCACCCCCAGAGAGATGCACAGTCCCCATCGGCAGGGCACACGGTGCCCCCCAGACGAGACACAAAATGCCCCCCAGGATAAGGGACACAGCCCCCCACCAAGGCAGGGCACATAGCCCCAAGTGCAGGGGTGCACAGTCCCACCGAAATCCCCCTGAGTGATGGAGAGAAGCCCAGGGAGTCCATTTCCCTGGGGAAAAGGGGGTTCCCAGGGAGTCTGGGGGTGCCAGAGCCTGGCCCCTCTGAGCCCCCACGGGCACAGGAGCAGGATACCCGTGGGTGCTCCCCAAGATCTGCCCACCACACCCCACGCTGAAAAGCTGAGGGGGGTCATGGACTTTTTCCCTGTAAGGGCCATAGGTAAATCAATGAGAGGCGTGGGGCAGACGGGGCAGAGTCTGCTCCTGGGCATCCTCCCGGGGCACCTGGGCCTGGAGCCCCTTTTATCCCATTCAGCCCCTTAGCATCCACTCCTCCAAGTGAGGACCTGGCTGGCAGCCCCACAGAGACCCAGAGGCAGAGCGCCCTGAACCCCCCAGCTGCCCTAGGGACTCTGCCCTAGGGGGGAGGCCAGTCCCCCAGCTCCTGGCTCTGCCTCCCGTTCGGGGGCACATGCCTTGATCCATCAGGAGGGGCTGGTGCTGGGGTCGTTCAATCCTTCCTTAAGGAGCTCTGACAGCTCCTGGGCAGCCCTGGCTGGGCTTCACACCTCACTCCAGGGACATCGATTCCCGGACTGACCCCGCCTAGTGCCCCTCGGCTCCAGGGCCAGGGGTCTTGGGGGGGACCCCACCACACCGCCAGCTGTGCCCCACAGCCCCGCATCCCCCTGCCAAGCGCCGGTGGAAGAGGCAGCACTGCAGGTCCCCTGGGAACACATGGCCTTGGGCTCGGTGTCAGTCCCGGTCAATCCTGCCCGGCTCCCAGCCCAAGACCTGGGTGCCAGGAGTGCTCTCAAGCCGGCACACGGGGCCGAAAGCAGAAATGGGGGTCTCCAGCAGCAGTGGGGCAGGAGTGAGCCTGTTGCAGGCAGGTGGGGGGGGCAGGTTGGGGGGCAGCCGCCCTCGTCCCACCGTGGCCAGGCTGGGTGCCTCCTGCTCTGGCCCCACCCAGGGATGCAGTCACTTCCCAGCAGAGCCCCGTTCCCTCCCACCAGCTCGGGGAATCGCCAAATAAGAGCAAAGTCTCAGCCGGGGAGAGCAACCGGGGCGGGAACTTGGGTGAAGCTTTTGGGATCACGGCCTGGGGACAGCGGAATCTCCCTGGGCCCCTCTGGGGTGGCAGGGGACAGGGGGGAACGTGGGGGGCTGGAGGGGGCTGCTCTGGCTAAACCTGCTGTCCCGGCTGCAGCCCCTGCCAGCACTGGGAGCTGCCGATCAGGGGCCAGGTGCCCCCCGGTCTGTGCCACCATCTGACCCCCCTCCGAGTGCCCAGGGGTTCTCATCTGCACCCCTTAGTGAAGTCCCCGTGGGCTTCGTGCACCGCCAGCCCATGCTGGAGGCAGGGCAGTGCCAGAGCAGGGGCAAGATTTATTCTTTTAAGGCATTTGTTGACAATTTTGCCGAGCGCGGGAGCCTGCCTGGATCACTGTGATGGGCCCCGACCTGGCCGAGGGATGGGGATGCTCCGTGCTCACAGGCACGTGCTGTCCTGGCAGCCAAGGGGGGCACGGGGGTCCCCGGGGAGGCAGGAGGGTGGGCTCTGGGTGTCTACCCTGCGCTTCCTCTGCTGGAGCTGTGCTGCGCCTCGCCTCGGGGAGGAGGTGACACCAGCCCTGTCACTTAGAGCTGTCAGCACATTCAGGACCCTGGCGCGGGGACCTGGTGACTCCCGCACAAAGTCACAAGCCCGTCCAGGCTTCGGCGTGGACCCGAGGCTGGCGATGGGCTCCCAGCCCTGCCCGCAGCACCCGCTGCAGCCAGCCCTGCCCTCCGTGACGACGCTCTGTCACCGTGCCCCCCGCCTCCAGCCCTTCCCTGGCAGGGCTGGTGGCTCCTGTTTGCCGTATCTGCTGGGATGGGACTCTCCGTGCCGAAGCCTGCAGACTTGCCAAGCCGCGGTGGACCGAGAGCAGGACAGCACACCCTCCCTGCCCAGGACGGCACCGCACAGCCCGCTGCCATCGGCAAATGACTCCACACCCCACGGCCGACGTCTGCCCAGTGCCACTGTTTGCCCCTTCCTCCGAGCCCCACACTGGGGACATCCCATCCACGCTCAGCCACACCCCAACACTGAGTTTGCCCCATCCCACACCAGCGTGGATCCAGTCAGACCAGTGTGAACCCCACTACACACAGCAGCTACCCTGCCCAGCCTGACGTGCCTGCCCCACGCCAGGACAAATGTGCGCTTCCAGGAGATTTTCAATGTTTTAACTATTTGGTTAAATGGGGGCAGGCCTGTAGGGTCAGCAAACAAGGCTGGGGAGCTGCCCGGCCGCTCCCCAGGAGCTCCAGACCGTCCTAGGGACTTGTGCTGCTGCTGCTTGTCCTTGTCTGCTCACCCTTGTCCTTGGCGGCCGCCTCAGAGATTTGACGCATCTCCCCCATTTAGCTCCATAAACCAGCTGGGATTGAATTTTTTGTTCTCAATCCTAAAAAGCCTGGCTGTGCCCCGCTGGCCGTGCTCCAGCCGGCTTCCCTTTAGCTTCTCCTCCAGTTTCCAGGGTTGGTTTTCATCAAAGAAGGACTGGCTATCAAAAGGAGGATTTATTTATAGGGTGTCAAATACCCTGTGTGGCACTGCAGGTCGTTATACCCTGTTCCTGAGCGGCTCCGTGGCCGCACACAGCTGTTCCACCCTTCATCCTGGCCGGGCACAAGCCAATTTCAACACCTTCCTAACATCTCCCCAGCAGGATCCATTTTCCAGGAGAAACATCAGTCACGGCACTAAATAAAACTCTGGCCTTGCCCTTCCCAGGGTACAGGGTGGCACACTGGACCCCAAAATGACTGAGTTCCCTCCCCTCCAACCGCACCCCGAGCATCCTTCCTTGCAACCAGCACTCGGCAGCTGGCCATGGACAAGAGCTTTTTCCACTTCTCTATTCTTTTTCCTGCCGCAGTTTAGCGAGTGCCGGAGAGTTTTTCCTACAAGCATTGCGGAGGCACATGCCTGGGGACCGGTGACACAGCTCAGGACACCTGTCCCCGTTAGCCAGGCAGGTGTCTTCCCGCAAAGCTCCAGGTGGGACCAGTGACCCGAGCGGTGCCTGCCACAGCCTGTCTGGCCCCTGCACCCCGAGGAGGATCCATCCAGCCCCTGCCCTGCACCTCAGCCTGGTTCAGTGTCAGCGTCGTAGGAATTGGATCCTGACAGTCTTCCCCACGGACGCTTTCCATATAAGGCCCCCCTCTCCCTTCACCTCCCCCGAGGTCCAGCACCCGCGCAGGGGAGGAGTTGCTGGCGTGCCTACATACGTCTGTAGCTTTCTTCTCAGCCTGCTCCAGCTTCTCCTGGGCCTCCTTCACGTTCTCAGAGTACTTCTCCACCTCATCCTCCGTGCCCTTCAGCTTCTTCTGCAGGCCCTGCTGTTCCTCCTCCAGCTGGGGAAGGGACGGAGGGTGGGTGTCAGGGGGGGATAGCGGTGCCCGCAAGGCTGGGGGTGGACTGCCATCCTCCCCGTGAGGACACCCAGGCTGGGGGCACAGCAGGAGCACACAGACACGTTCCCTCTGTCAACTTTAGGTCCACACGTCCTCAGGGAGCCCTGGGTCCCCAGGTCCAGAGCAGCCCCCAGCAACCCTGAGACTGGCGGGGGTAAAGGGGTGGTAGGTTCCCTCCCTGTGTAGGGATCTGGAGAGGTTCTGACTTGGGGACACAGCTCTGGGGGGCACCAAGGTCCCCATCCATCTCTGTGTGGCTGGGGGAGGGAATACACTGTCCCCAAGGGTACCCCCATGGCAGTGGGATAAGGAGGTGGCACTGGGGTGTCTCACTGAGGTAAGGCATGTTTGGGGGGACCAGTGTAGTGGTCAGGAGCAACAGGCTGGAGTACTGGTCCCTGGGGATGGGCACCCAGTGGGGTGAGGTCCCCAGGGATGGGCACACAGCAGGGTAATGTCCCCGGAGATGGGGACCCAGCGGGGTGAAGTCTCAAGGGCTGGACATCCCTAGAGCTGGAATCCATAGGCAGGACACCCAGTGTAAGGGGCAAGGTCCTCAGGACAGGACACCCTTAGGACAGGGGTTTCCAAGCTGGACACCCAGTGTAGGGAAGTCCCTGGGGCTGGGCACCCCAAGAACAGGGTCCCCAGGCTGGACACCCAGCAGAATAGGGTCCCCAGGGCCGGACACCCCTAGGGCAGAGGGTCCCCAGGCTGGACACCCAGGAGGATGGGATCCCCGGGTCTCGAGACCCTTAAGGTGGGGGTCCCGGTCAGTGCCGGGGGAGCCCGTGGGACACCCACCTGCTTGCAGCGGTCCTCCGCCTGCTTCTTGTCGGCCTCCGCCTGCTCGGCGCGGTCGATGGCGTTCTCCTTGTCCAGTTTCAGCATCTGCATCTTCTTCTTGATGGCCTCCATGGTGGCGGTGGCGGGGCGCGGGGCAGCGGGAGCACCGGGGGCGGCGGGAGCACCGGGGGCGGCGGGAGCACCGGCACTGCGCCCCCCGCCCCGCCGCGCCGCCTAAGAGCCGGGGAGGGGCCGCGCCGGGCGGGGGCCGCCCCGGCAACTCCCCCGCCGCCCGCCAGCACCTTTTAGGGACAGGCTCGCCACCGACCGCCGCACCGAGGGGAGCGGGGGGGTGGGGGGGGTGGGGGGGAAGGCGGCACCCCCGCAAGCCCCGGCGCCGGGCACCCACGGGAGGGGGACACCGCGGGGGGCAGTGCGAGGGGGGCACACCGGGTACCCCGATGGCACGGAGCAAGGGAAACCCTGGGGGGGGGTGGGGCGCCGGGTGAGGGACTTCCCTGTGCGAGGGACACGCCGGGTCGCTGCACTGGGGGGGTACCCCGGGGGCACTGTGAAAGGGACACTACGGGGCACGGCACTGGGGTACCCCGGAGGCACCGGGCGAGGGATGGTGGTGTGAGAGTGACGCTTTGGGGCGCAGCAGACGAACACGCTGGGGCACCGCACCGGGGGTACCGCACCGGCACTCTGCTAGGGACACCCCGGTGGCACTGCACTAAGGACACCCCAGTGGCACTGCATTAGGGACACCCTGGTGACACTGGGTGAAGGAGACCCCAGTGCTGGCTCCGCTAGCTGTACCCCAGGGTGCTGTACTAGGGACACCCCGGTGACACTGGGCGAGGGACACCCCGGGGCCAATGTACTCGGGGTACCCCGGGGTCACTGCGCTATGGACGCCCCAGGTCACTCTGTTAGGGGTGAGGGACACCCCAGTGGCACTATGCTAGGGTTACCCTGGGGGCACTGGGATAGGGACAGCCCAGCAGACACGGTGCTAGGGACACCCTGGAGCACTGCAGTAGGGACATTTCTTGTGGCCCTTCCCCAGTAGCACTGTGCTGGGGGGGACCTCCTGTGGCCTCTCACCACTGTGGGGAACACTCTGTGCCTTGTTCCCCCACGCCTGGGGACTGCATGGGCTGGCAGTGTGCTGTTACTGTGCCCCAGGGACACCCCCAGCCATTCACCCCCAGGGCTTGAGACCTGCCTCTTGCTCTGACCAGAGCTGTCCCCGCGCTAGAGGCACTGCCCTAGGCGCACCCCATGCCCTGCCACTGCATCCTGAGGGACCCTGCTTGCTGGCACAGCACTTGGGGACACCTGTGGGCTGGCACTGAAGTGCTGGGGACACTCTCAGGCTGTGATTGAGCTCCGGGACGCCCACGGGCCACGATTACAGCTGGGGACACCCGTAAGCTGTGATTGCAGTCGGGGACGTCAGCGGCTGGCACTGCAGAGACACCCACAGGCTGTGACTACACTCAGGGACACCCATGGGCTGTGACTGCAGTTGAGGACACCCACGGGCTGTGATTGCACTCAGGGACACCATGGGCTGGCACAGCCTATGTGGAGAGAATCCCCTGGGAGAGAAGCAAGCAGAGCCCCTGATCTCTCCATCCAGCTCCTCCATCACGGTGGGGCAGGAGGAGACCCAGGTCTGCGCAGGGTCCCTGGCACCCACCTCCCCACTGCCTTGCACCCTGGTGCCACTGTCCCTGGAACCCACAAGGACACCTGGCACATGTGCAGCCCATAGGGTGGCATTTCAGGGTGACACAGAGCGCATGGGCAGCTCACCACCGCTCTTCATCTTTCTGCTCTAAATAAACTGTATTCCACAGGCAAAAAAATGCAAACCCTTCAGATCCCGGCTCTTCCAAAAATAACCCGTGCTTTAATAATGCTCGTAAATGCTTCTGGCGCATTCCCAGCTGCAGGGTGGGCTCCACGCTGGGGGGGCTGGAAGGAGCCAGCGGAGGGGCCGCAGGAGCCGTGCAGCACGTGGGGAGGGTGGGATGGGATGGGGACGGGAGGAGCGTGTGGGTTCCCCCAGCCCATCACCTCAGGGCTGCATCCAGCCCTTGCCTGCCGCAACTTTTCGGCACTGGTGCTCCCAGCAGAGAGGAGCAAAAAGTTTTTGAGAGCTGGAGGAAGTGGCGGTCTGGAAGCCTGCAGCCCCAGGTTGTGGGGGGCATAGGAGGGACGTGAGCAGCGGAGGACTGAGGTGCTGCTGGTGCCCTGGGGAAAGCAGCAGAAGAGTGGCTGCTGGACTCTGGAGAGCAGCTATTAATACTGACAAATTAGGCACATATTTGGACAAGGAGAGTCAGTAACCGCCAGCCCACAGCTTCCAAGGGGAGGGGGAAGATCCATCTCACGTCATTCCCGGGTGAGGATGGATGGTTCTCTGCAAGATGCTTGGGCCCAAAGCAACTTCATGGACTCAGGGCATGGGGGAACGACGATGTTGTGCATGGTGCGAGAGGCCAGGCAGCTGCCCTGGAACCGGGCAGGGCTTCAGCCCTCAGATATCTCCTCGAAGGATGCAGTTTTCCCTTGCTGCCCGCTTCCCTTTGCTCCAGCCATCATGGCCACATCCGACTGGCACATCTGGGGGCATCCAGGCCCATGAGTCTGCCCTTAAGGCTGTCCTGCGGGGTGATGTCTGGGACAAGGGGGTGCAAAGGGGTGTGGGTGCGCATCCCTCCCATTGCTGCCTCGTGCTCAGTCCTGCCCTGGGCTAAGGTCTCCAAGGATGGGGACTCCCCTTCATGCCCTGATCTAGGGTCCGACCACGCTCCCAGGAAAGGCTTGTCCTGCCATTTAATGGGAACTTCTCAGGTGCAACCCGTGCTGCAGCCTCTTGCCCTGTCCCTGAGCTCCCCAAGAAGTTGGGCTGCTTCCCCGCCCGCCTCCTACTTAGCCAGGTTTGGGTCCCTACAAAGACACTGGTGCCTCATGACTGTCGTGTCCCATCTCCAAACCTCCACGTGTGCTCGCCCAAACCCGCCTCCCAAAATAAACCCTCACTTCAGAGGGCAAGATTTAGGGGAACGGGGCGAATCACACCCCACGTCCCTCTCCTGGCATTTGTGGCACCACTGCTTGCCTGTACCCCAGCTTGGAAGACGCAGCAGTGGATGCGCTTGCAGCCCTGTGCTGGGAGTGCTGGGGCTCCCTTGGCCCTGGGGGGTGCCGGGATGAGGTTGGGGCCGCAGCCACACCGTGCCAGCTTGCTGTCCTTGCTGGTGGCTCAGAGGTGCCCTGTGCCCAGCCGGTACCTGGGTGAGAGCCTGGTGCTGGGTCAGGCCAGTGCAGATTGTCAGGGGACAGCTGGGAGGACTGGGATGCCTGCGAGAGCCACAAATCCACCCTGGAGCCTGGCCAGGGGTGAGCGTCCCAGCGGGGGAGAGCCCCTCCGCACCCCCAGGGGCGTACCCACAAGGGGACGAGGGGTCGTTGTCCGGGATGCTGCGGGATGCTGCCCTCGCCGCTCGTGATGCTTGCAGCTCACGCTGCCAGAGACGGGGGACACGCGTCCGCCCGCCCGCGTCCCCGCTCCACCCCACAGCATCCCCGCTCGCCCGGCCGCTGCTCGGGGCCCCCCGAGCCCCCCGCTGAGTGACGGGGCGGGAACAGGTGGGGAACACGCTTGGGGCAGCTGCTGCCCGCACAGGTTCGGCCCTGGGGGGGGGGGGGGGGGGGGGGGGGGGCGCTATTTCGGGGCGTGAGCTCAGCGCCAGCAGCCGGGAGGGCTCCGGCCACATTCCCAGACCCGCAGCATGCCAAGGGCTGCCGCTTCCCCACCGGTGGGGCCAACCGTGACCTGAGGGTCCCCTACCTGCACCCCTGTAGCACCCTACCCAGCAAGATTTTCAGCGGGCAGCAGTAATGGGGCCAGGACCCCAGCTGCACACACAACTCCCCCCCCCCCCCCCCCCCCCCAAGCCCAAATCCCCCAGCAACAAAATCCCCAGGGCCCCCTCCTGGGGTGGTGGCCCCCCGGCAGCACCTGCGAGGGACGGCACATGGCTGGCAGCAGGGGTCCAGCCTGCCGGGTGCCTGGGGCTGGACGTGCTTCAAATATTTTCCGTGCTGTATAAGCACCCTTGCTACACTCCACCCCGCCCCCCCCCCCCCCCCCCCCCCCCCCCCGCCTCTGCCGGGAGGGCAGGCACCCATGGCCCCCCTGCCCACCAGCCCTCCCTTTCTCCTGGGGGGGGTGTGGGGGGGGTGTTGCGTTGATACCCAGATGGCAAGAAAGCAGGAAAACCAGATTTTATTGATGAACGTGTCTTTCCAAGGAGACATCGGCAATCCCCACTCCACCCCGTAGCCTTGGGGGAACCTGGTTTCCTTCAATGTTTAGTATGGGATGCTTAAAAGTATCAAAATAGTGAAAGAAGCCTCAGCGAGTGCAAAGGGTGAGGGGTGGGGGTCCCGGAGCCAAGGAGGGGTGGGATGTTGGGCTGTGGGACCCTGGCAAGAGCTGGGTGTTAGTGGGCAAGGCACAAGCTGGGGAGGCAGGAATAAATGAACTTTGAAAGCTGCAGGCTCAATACTAGAGAAATGGAAAAGTTACAAAAATACTGCAGATCTTGGAAAACGATGCAGGCACTTGGGAAGGAGGAGGAGGGCAGAGCTGGCTGGGGCCGTGGCTGGGGGAGGGGCTGGGGGGGGGAAGCCCCACGGGAAGGCTAAGAGCAGCTCCAGGGATGAACCCATTGCATTCCCCATATCCTGAGCAGAGGCACTGTGGCTTCCAGCCCTGCTGCTTCCCAGACGGGGCCAGGCTGAAGAAGATGCTTGGGGAGGGGGCTTAGTGCCTCCCAGGGAAGCTGTAGAGGAAGAGGAGGAGGAAGGAGATTCAGCCAGCAATAAGGCATTGGAGGTGAAAGGCGGCTCCGTGTGAGAGCTCAGCGAGGGACCACGCTGCTCCCTGCACCCATCACACAGGAGAGGGCAAGCTGCCCGCCTCTCCCCGCCCCGCGCAGAGGAGAGAGAAGAAAGAAGCACAAGTGGGAACAACAAAGGCACATGGAAAAATCCCCTGCAGAAAAATCCCCTGCGAGGCTCTCTGGCCCCGCAACCCAGGGCTGGAGGGTGAGCCCTGAGCCGATGCAGCCCCGGCTCCCACCCCAGCCGGGTCCCTCCGTGCATTCTGGCCGTGCCCTGGGTGTGTGTGGGAAGGTGGG